TCAATCCTACATTAAAGAAAGGAAAAACTCACAGGAAATGGAGGTAAAGCCTATTGGGAGAAGAGCGTGAGTTGTGTCACGGAGTAAGAGAGTGGTAGGGTTGGAAGGTGTGGGAATTCACAAAATCAGAGGGTTTTGGGAAAGCTGCAAAAGGCAGACCCCAGAGACAGCAGAACTGTGATTAGAGCTAAGCAGCAGCCATGAGATTGGTCATCAGAAAAATTATTTAAACTGTAGAAAAGCAAAGACAAATAGAACAATGATCTGTGTATTAATGCTTGTCTAGAATAACTCTAAGCTACAGAAAAGTTTATCTGGTGAGATATTAGGAAGTTTTAAGCTTAATAATGGAGCTCTGGGCACTGTGTTTTAAGGCTTACAAACAGGTATTGTATTTGAAATAAGCAAGCATTGTTTAACCAAAGGTACCTGTGCTTATAGTGGTTGGATGGAACTACTGCCAATGTGCTTTTGCTTTGTGTGATTGGTCAAAAAACTTATAAAGTGAGTTGTAACATTAAGTTCTTGGTCTGTTGCCTGGGATGTGAGCTGCTGGCATCTCCCCATTGTCATAACCATGGAATGAGACCGATGCTGGAAAATAAAACACTCAAGACACGTTCCACAGCAGTCCTGTCCCGTTGGTGATTTGTACAGAGATCCCAGCCGGCGACAGAAGGGACCACGGTGGGGCAGCTGGTGGCACCTCCCTGCTCCAGCAGGGCCATCCCACAGCTCAGGGCTCAGGATTGCATCCAGACTGCTCTGGAACATCCCCAATGAAGGAGACTCCACACCAGTGCTCAGTCACTGCCCAGGAAAGAAGTTCTTCCTCAAGTTCGGGCAGAATTTCCTGGGCACCAGTTCCTGCCTGTTCCTCCTGTGGTGCTGCTGGGCACCACTGGGAAAAGCTGTGCCCTTCCTGACTCCCTCACATGAGAAACTCTACTTGCATCACTGATGGTGAAGAGGGCAAGGGGGAGGGCAAGGAATGATGGACAGAGTGGCACAAGGATTCAGGAATGCACATGGAATCCGGCCAGCTCGGTGCCTGTCACTCTGTGTCACCCACAGTCTTTGCCTGAAAATGGAAAGAGTTGAGCAAGAGTTGTCCCATCCCTGGAAGTGTCCAAGACCACGCTGGGCAGGGCTTGGAGCAACCTGGGATAGTGGAATGTGTCCCTCCCCATGGCAGGGGGTGGAATTGGATGAGCTTTAAGGTCCCCTCAATGCCAAAGCTTTGACTCCATGAAGAGTTGGACAGGACATGGAGGTACCGCTGCTGCTACCAAGGGGACACCAAACTGCAGAACCCAGCAGAGGCTTCCAATCCTCCTCACTCTTCCCTTTCCTCCTGAATCAAATCCCTGGGTCCTGCTCCAGACTGGCAGAATTGTTGACAGATGACCCCACCAGGAGATGTGTCACCCAACGCAGCATCTCACTCAAAAATACCCAGTTTACACCTCAAACCTCCATGCACAGCCTTTCTTTACACCCCCACACTCACCTGCAGGGATGTGACAGCATCCACACCCCCAACAGGCAAGTGACACCCAGAGGGACCCACGGTTTCAATCCAAATTATAAAAGCCAGAAATAAAAAGCAAACATGGCAGTATTTATAGCTGCCCATTCCCCAGCTATGGAAGCTGTAAACGACTGCATATTTGAGATGCAATTCCAGAACAGCTTTGGATGGGACTCAAGAAATCCCCCACTCAAAAATAACACAAGTGGATGGTGACAGTAGTGGATATATCCGTGAGCTGGTGTGTCAACCAAGGACATGCAGAGACACTGCCAGGTCATTTTTGGAACTGTTCCTTGGGAGTTTCATGACACTCCAAGCAAACTCATGCAGCCATTCCCAGAGTCTGCCTTCCCAAAACACTCCCAGAAGCAGGAAGGCTGATGAAAATCCACCCCAGGACACTGAGGTTTGGTCCTCCCAAGGGTTCTGAGGTTCTGCTTCCAAATCGTGGTAGGAATTATCCAATCATTCTACTTCTCACCTGGAAAAGGAGAACAGGAACCTTTTCCTCTCTAGAAACGACACTAAAATAAAGAAGATTCAGCTCTACATTCACTGAGGACACTGCAAAGAGTGGTGAGAGTTAAAATAATAAATTTTGTTATTTTAATATTCTGACAGCCCAGAAACACCTTCAGCACTGCAAATACTCTATTGGAAGTGGAGTATTCTAAATTCATATATTATATGTATGTGGAAAGGAGTATTCTTCATATATAAGTGCAGTATTGTAAGTTCTATATTCTAAATTCATACAACAAAAACTCATGGGTACCCAGATGACTCCTCTGGGTAGAAAATACCTAAGCATCTCTCATCCTTTGTAAACTGTGTTTTTTCACTAAAATCCTTTGGTTTTTTCTAGGTTACACCCCAGGTTAGACTGACAGGGGGATGCCACCACCAAAAACAGCTGTGCTCCTGGATTGGAGAATTCTTGCCACAGCCACACAGAATGAAAGGCACCAGTGTCAAACAGAGAACATTCAATGGGATGGGGTGTGCAAACGCTCCAAACAGAGAATCCTCATTGGGATGGGGTGTGCAAACCCTACCCTGGAGGTCTGAGGTGTGGTTTGGGTTGGAATGGACCCCAAGATCCATCCTGTCCTGGGCAGGGACACCTTCCACTATCTCAGGTTGCCTCAAACCCCATCCAAGCTGGCCTTGCACACTCAGCTCCCAGCCATCAGCCTTCTAAGCATCTCTCATTCTTTGTAAACTGTGTTTTTTCACTAAAATCCTTTGGTTTTTTCTAGGTTACACCCCAGGTTAGACTGTCCGGGGGATGCCACTACCAAAGAGAGCTGTGCTCCTGGATTGGAGAATTCTTGCCACAGCCAAACAGAATTAAGAGCACCAATGTCAAACAGAGAATCCTCAATGGGATGTGGTGTGCAAACCCTCCAAACAGAGAATCCTCAATGGGATGGGGTGTGCCAACATTGCCCTGGAGGTCTGAGCCTGCAATCATGGCGTGATTTGGGTTGGAAGGGACCCCGAGATCCATCCTGTCCTGGGCAGACACCTTCCACTATGCCAGGTCACTCCAAACTCCCTCCAAGCTGGCCTTGCACACTCAGCTCCCAGCCACCAGCCCGAATTGCTGAATTGGGCAGCCCAGCTCTCCACCCTGCTGAATCCGGAGCAGTTGTGGAATACCAGCAGAAAGTCAGCGCCGTGCGACCACAACGCATTCCAGACCTGAGAGAAAGCCAGCAGGAGCAGCTCATCTGCCAGCTTCTCCCTTTCCACCAGCTTTGTCTCCACTCCTCCCCTTCTCCACACCACTGAGAGCTTCCCAAATTCCCTGTGCCCATCAGCACGGGGATCATCTCACAGCTCCCAACGAGCTCCATGTGACATTTGGCTCTGGCCAGATTTTAAAGCCATCTCCACCACGCACTATTTGATTGCACCAAGATATTTTGTAACAAGATAATGAGCTTTAAATCAATGCAGGCATTCTAAGCCCCAGTGCATTGACAGTCTGCCGGGCCTGGCTATCCAGTTTCAGCCATTTCCAAAATTGTGCACGAGGATCCAAAGAGGATAACGAGTCCCTTAAACAATCCCCTGTTATTTTAAGAAACGGGGGCTGCATCAGCCCAAGCTGCAAACCAGCAGCCAGGGTGACCAAAGTGTAAAAAAGTGGGGTTTTTAAGTGAAAAAAGTGGGTTTTTTCCCCTTTTTTTCCTTTCTCTCTGGAAGAGGAGGAGGAGAAACAAGCCCTCAGTGATAGATTTGGAAAGCTGCGCCCTAGTGGGTGATACATGCCAGCCTTTGCCCTGGGGCACCACTTGCTGCAATGCTGAGCCAGGAACCAGCAGCTCCTGCAGAGGAGGAGGAGGAGGAGGAGGAAGATTTACAGAGCACTGTGTTACTGCTCGGGAACAGCACCTGAAGGATTTACAGCAGCGGGGCAGGGCAGAGATGCTGCAGGGATATAAAGCACGGCAGAATGAGACAGCAGCAGAGCCCTGCAGCCCTCAGTGCTCTCATTTATCACCCAGATCCCTGACAACGGGAGGTCTCCATGGGGTTTTGACTCCAGGCTGCCCTGCCCAGGGCACAGGCAGGTCTGAAGGAACGAGCTGTGGCCTCCAGGTGTCAGCATGAGAAAGTGCTTGGCTTCCCCAAGACACCACTAATCCAGGGACTCCTCTGGCATGCAGGGATATTTTTAAATGTCTTGCAGCTCTGGCCCGGAGCTCTTGGGTTTCATAAGGACTTTCCTTGTTTCCACCAGTCAGTGACAGTGCATTAGTTAAGCCCCGGGTGCTTCTGAATTACTCCTCCTCACTAATTAAGCCCTGCAGACCTCTGCTGTTATCTTTAAAGCCTTTCACACCCTGGCTTTTCCAGGTCCAGGCCCATTGCTGAGTGTGGGGTTTTCTGGAAGGCACTAAAGCCCTGGAGCCCCTCGAATGCTGTCAGTAAAATGGTGCTAAAATAAGAACTGGATTTTACTGGGAGGGTGGAAGGAACTGGATTATATGTGGAGGTACGAAGAAAATAACTAAAAATATCACCTTCTCCTCCAATAATCCTAATTTCTGGCCGTCTCCACCTGAGCTGCTGGGAAGAGGTGTGGGAATTAATTACCCACTGCTCACATCCTTGGCAATAACAGATTTATTGCAAGGATTTACTTATCATTAATCTGCAGGTTTTGCCCTGCACTATGACAGGGCTCCCCTTGCCCCCTCTAACAGGACAGCACAGAACAGTCTGGTTTGCCTTATTTCCTTAAAAAAGGCGTTTCCTCAACTTTTTTCCTGAGAGACTGGCATGATAAACAGGAGAAATAAATAGGAGAAATGAACAGGAGAAAAAATAAAGAAAAAATATAAGAAAGAAATTAATAAAGAAAGAGGGGACAGCTTTGAGAGCTTCCCAACGCTTTCCTCCAGCAGCAGCTCAGTTTTGAGCAGAAATGGGCAGAAAATGCAACTGCACAGAGCTGCACAAACACCTCCAGCTTCCAAGGGGAGCAGCCAGGGCCAGCAGTGGGAAGCAGAGAGGGCAAGCCCATAAATTACCCCCATTAGCACATTCTCTGCCTGCCCTGCACTTCCAGGGATGAACTCAGGCCTTGCTGGCAGCTCTTGGTGGACCTCAGGGGAAGCACCACCAGCAAAGGACGTCCCAGACTGGCCATCAGGGCAGGATGACACACCAGACCCACCTCTCTTGAGAAACCTCCAGACTCATTTCTCGTGAGGAGCCCCCCAGACTCACCTCTCTTGAGGAGGCCTCCCCTCAAGACCTCCCTGAGGAGGCCCCCCACACTCCCCAGACTCACCTCCCTTGAGGTCCCCCAGACCCAGCTCTCTTGAGGAACCCCTCAGACTCATGTCCCTTGAGCAATCCCCAGACCCCCCAGACTCACCTCTCTTGAGGAACCCCTCAGACTCACTTCCCTTGAGGAGACCTTCCACACTCATGTCCCTTGAAGAATCCCCAGACTCCCAAGACTCCTGAAGCCCTCCAATCTCACCTCCCTTGAGGAGCCCCCAGACTCATTTCTCTTTAGGAGCCCCCTGAGGCCTCCCAGACTTACCTCCCTTGAGGAAACCCCAGATCCCCCAGACTCACCTCCCTTGAGAAGCCCCCTGAAGCCCTCCAATCTCACCTCCCTTGAGAAGGCCCCTAGACTGTCCTCCCCTGAGGAGCCCCCCAGACTCATTTCTCTTGAGGAGCCCCCAGACCCCACAGACTCACCTCCTTTGAGGAGGCCCCACAGACTCGTTTCTTTTTAGGATCCCCCTAAGGCCTCCCAAACTCACCTCCCTTGAGGAGGCCCCAGACTCCACCTCCCTTGAGGAGCTCCGAGATTCATTTCTCTTTAGGAGCCCCCCAGACTCACCTCCCTTGAGGAGGCCCCAAACACACCTCTCTTGAAGAGGCCTCCCCTCCAGACCTCCCTTGAGGAGGCCCCCCAGACTCATTTCTCTTGAGGTGGCCTCAGACTCCCCTCCCTTGAGGACCCCTCCAATCCCCCATNCGCCTTGGCCATGGCGTGCGTCAGCCCCGCCGAGGAGATGGCGTACAGGAAGGCTGTCTCCTTGAAACCTGCAGGGACAAGCAGGGACAGGCTCTAGTTGCAGCTTAAGCTGTTGGGGAAGATGAAACAGGAAAGCCTTACAAATATGATTTTCTGGCAAAAGATTTTGAGAATATGGACACTATAAGTGAGATGAAATGAAAGCAAGCTTTGAGATCCCTCAGTTACTGAACAATGGGACAACAATGGTGTGGCCAGCTGAAGGTGATCCCCTTTCGATAAAACAACACCCTCTGCTTGCAGACAGGCCCAAGGGTCAGAACAGACCCTACAGCTTGGCAGAAGGGGCCCAAAGAGGAGTTTTTAGGGTTTAAAATGTAACACAGTGTGGTAATGTAGTGATTCTTATAGGCTGTATGTAAATGCTATAGGATTTGTATGTTGTACTAGATTGGTTAGTGAGAAT